TTGTGAGAAGATGTGGATGGGATTAAGGAGTAGCAAGTAGCCTGGGGTGGGTCAAGTGCAGACAGCGAAAGGAGTTAAGTGGTCAGAGAGCCACAGTGAAAGGGCAGTTAAAAGGATTATTGAGTATTTAGGTATACTGGGATGGGCCAGATGCCTCAGGCAAAATTCCAGTGACCTGAGCTGCTAAAGAGTAGGAAAGTTCAAAGTGGCTGAGTTCTGTTCAAAGACATGGTCTTTTCCTTTTAAGGGTCCAGGTCCCATAACCCCATCAATACCAAAAAATAATGGTGAAGCAATTTGGAGAACCAGAAATAGTGTCTTGGAAGCAGTGAGAGGAGAGTGTATCTAAAAGGATGGAGTCATTAGTGGTCTTAAAAGTTAGAGAAAGACTAAGAAAAGGCCTTTGGATGTGATGAAGTCATTGTTTATTATTTACAATATGTACCTACCTAATTGTTATTGCTGACACCTCAAAACCTGAACATAAAATAAAACCTTAGGTCTTTGGTACCTTACCAAAGTTTTAGAAAGCAATACACATGTAAACACACACACACACCCCTCATTTAACAACATGATTAAATTTATGATTTCAACTAAATTGCTTAATAAACACTTTCAGGTAGTTAACTGGATAACATCCAGTTTGTAATCTAGAATGCTCCTGTATAATTTACCTAATTTTGATAGCTAGAATGCCATTTGTTCAATCAGAGCCCCATTCTTTTTGGGGGCTAAAGTATATATTTGCAGATCAGATTATAGTATCATGATATGATAAATTTAAGGCCAGAAGAGACCTTGAAAATTACCTAATACAAACTGCCTCATTTTACAGATGAGAAAACCTTGTCTGAGCTCAAGTGACATGCCAAGGGTTATATAGCCAGTATGTAGGCAAGATTTGAATTTGGGTCTTTCTGACTCTGAGTCTAGCACTTTTGTCCCATCGGGCCTGGAAAAGCACTTTTCTTGTATCTCAGGTGTTTTACCTATAGCATAGGTATCTGTGTAAGGACCACAGCAGGCACTTTAGGTTTGTTGAATTACATGGGGAAATAACCATAACATTTCCCAACCCCAAAGGTTGGAAACACTGCCCTACAAATTTAGTGATTCTGTAACATAGCATTATTCAGTGATGAAACGCTAGGGTATTTCCAAATTTTATTACCTCTCTGCAAAACACCCTAGCTTCCATGTTAATTGGGAAAGCTGCCCAATTGGCATAGGTTTCTGTTCCTACTGGGGTGGGCCAATTAAGAGTTTCTATTGTACTATTATCTCAACAGATACTTTAGTTATTGAGTAACTCTAAAGTATATGAATGCCTCTAGACTTTGTAAAAAGCTGGGAAGGGGGGGAGGGGCGGCGTAGAGGAGTGGAGGAGGAACAGTTAACCATATAGAAATAAAACAATGATTGGTTTGATTTTTCTAAATTCAGAGACATAGCAAAAAAAAGTTGACCAAAAATTGGTTGAGGAAAAAATCAGGGACATTTTAGTTAATTCTGTGGAGGGTGGGAGTAGGGGATGTATGTCAAATTGGTAAATATTTTAAATGGTGAGTTGTTGAAGTGAAGGATAGAGGCCTCAAACAGGATAAGAACTTATGGTTCTGAATAATATTTGTTCCCATTGTTTGAATTAAGGATATCAGTCTTTTCTACACATAGAATAACTCTTTTGTCTATAGCACCTGAAGTGCTAAATTTGACCTTTTTGCCAATTGGTATGCAGGAGACTTTATGGCACCCTCAGAGGGGCAAAGGTTAAAACCCAGGGAACTTTGGCTCATTTTGGATGGGTTTTGCTCCTAACAACATACAATGAGGGTATGTGAAAATATTAAGGAGTTTATATGTAAGCAGATGAATATATCTGGAACCAAAACCTTAGAAATTTATGTTAGCGAAAATGTTTAAATTCTGGAGCTAATTAAAAACATACCTAAATGGACCATAGGTGGCACAGACTAGAATCTATCATTGCTGAAATATGAGAGATTCAGAATTTGGGTATCAGAAAGTACAATTCACATCTAGGCTTTGCCGTGCTATTTGATCCCACTTTTTCCTTTTGCTCTTGAAAGAATAATTTTCATTTTGAAAAAGCACTTCTGGCTACATAAAGATTTGGAACCACTGTAAAATCCTTCTAGGTTGATAAAAAAGGCTTCTCCTGAAAGACTGATTTGAGATTAGATAACTTAAAGCTAAAGCATTCTTGTCCTTACACAACATTAAGGATGAAAATTTTGCCTTATATAATAGAATAAAACTTTTCCATTTTCCTCACCATTTTTCAAGTGTTATAACTCTCTCTCTCTCTTGCTTCCTCAATGTTTGAACTTAACAGAACTCAAACTTCTAGAGAAAATGGACTCTTGCTTTAATCTAACTACTAGGTAATTGTAGTACTTCTTTGAAAAACAAAATTAAGCAATTTATGTGAAGCAACTTCATTTTGGTTGTTTTGTGGCTCCACCCCTAAAATATTAAATGCCCTATATATCCAATAACCAAAACAAATTTCAACATGGTCAATTCTGTGGACACAAAGCTTAATTATTGAGCTACGTTTTGTGGGTAAAACCAATCTATCAGATTTTCTACTTTGCATTCCTTGCTTCTGCTTCATGTAATAAGTAACATTGTGGGTTTAGGTTCATGATTTGATCCATGTGGAACTCCCAGTGTGAAAACTACCTTTACCAATGTAGATCAGCAATGGTGTCAGTAATGTAACTAAATGTTATGGCTATAGGTTACACACACACACACACACACACACAAATACTAGTTAATCTAGTCAATTCATATAAAAAGAAAAATTGTCAAATTGGCTACTAGGTATCACATAGATATAAAAATAAAAAAATAAATCTATCAATAATAATAAATATAAAAAACTTGGTTTGCCTGAATTCTCTTTCTAATCAGCTGTGTAGACTTAGAAAAAAAAACTGTAAGAATGGATTTTTATTTCCTACTTATAAAACCATAGCTTATTTTCTGACTCTGAGTTATTTTCTTTTTTGTTTTGTTTTTTGCCAGGCAATGGGGTTAAGTGACTTGCCCAGGGTCACACAGCTAGTAAGTGACAAGTGTCTTGAGACCGGATTTGAACTCAGGTCCTCCAGACTCCAAGGCCGATGCTCTATCCACTGCGTCACCTAGCTGCCCTTCTGAGTTATTTTTAATACAATAAGCTGCCTACGGTCAAAATTTCAATAATGTATAAGAGATATGAATGAAGACAAGAGGATGTTGACTATTTCCATATTTACATTTAGTTTCATCATTCATTTCTACTTGTTGAAACTGCAGCCATTCAAAAAACAAGACTGGATACTAGTAATCCTCTTCAGATAGTATGCAGCACTTTTCTTACCTTAAAATTTTATTGTTAGTAATATTCATGTCTACTTTCACTGTGAGGCAGCATGCATGGTACAGTGGAAAGAGCGCTGGATTTGGAATCAGATCCCTGCACTCCGCCACTTCATCCTTTTGTGACTTTGGGCAAGCGACTTAACCTCTTGGTCTCAATTTCCTCACCTGTATAATGAGAGCAGTGGACTTAGATGACTTTGAGGTCCTTTCTGGCTCTAAATATATGATCATTGTACTTTCTTCATAAGTAAGATTTTTCTTTTCATGAATAATTTTAATTGCTAAAATTTCTAATTTGTCTACATTTTCTAGGAGAGAGAAACAAAACTGAATACAGAATTCAAAGTCTTAATCACAAAGAAGCTGGATGAAAAGGTTCATAAGACTTCCAATAAATGCCATTTCACAAGCATCATATCTTAGTTCCTTTTTTTTAAGCATAAGTAAGCCAATTTGAACACATTTTTCTTCTAAAAGTTTGACACTATTAAATGTTCTTCATTATAAAGATATTGGATTTATTGTCCTTTTATCCACTAATTTTATAATTATGATTTTATTAAATACAGAAACCACAAAATGGCTGGTCTTCTGCAATACAATTAAGGAATGTAAGATAATTTCCTTGAGCTTACTCTATTACTGTCCAGGACTATGGGAATGCTGACAAAGTGGAACAAGTAGGTGCACATGGTAGTGTTAGCAGGGAGGTATTTCTGATTGTGTCAGAATTATATAAGATTTAGATTTGGAAGAGATCTCAGAGGTCATATAGTTGGAACTCTCATTTTCCCCATGAGGAAACTGAAGCTCAGAGAGGTTAAGTGAGGCCTTTGAAGTCACAGAGAGAAATACTAACTAAGTATAGTTGGCATTAAAGCTCAGTTATCTTGACTCTCAAGCTGGTGCTCTTTATACCATACCACAGAAGAATAATTTTTTTTTGGTATACAAAATTTCATTTGTTCCATAAATGTTTACAGTGCCTATTACTACTTTGTGTAAGACTCTGTACTGGGCGATGGGATGAAAATATATGTATAAAACAGTTTATGACCTTGTAGAGCGAATAATCTTACGGCTACAAATGGAGATGATATTAAAACTACTGACAGGTCATAATGTAATTCCTTTGAGCCTTTACTAATAAATACAATCAATTATACATTCATATAATGAACCAATGCAATGGCCTGTTTCCAAACAAGTTTTCTTCTGATATAGTTAATCCTAGCCTAAAGAAATGTAATATAAAACACCACTTCTAAATAATCAAACTCTCAATATGAAAGAATATATATTAGAAGGAAGTATCCAAAACAGCAAATGAATTTTAGAGCAAAATTCATCACAAACAAAAAAATCCATTTAATAAATAGATTCCAATAAAGACATTTTACTCAAAACAAAAACCCACCCACTAACACACAACATAAAAATTAATTTTTGCTACTAATATAATTTTAAGAAAATGCTGGTCATAAAAATGGGCTCTAGAAATACAAGTTTATCATAGTATCATGTACATAATAAGAATAACTAAAAAAGCTATTGAACAATGATCCAAGCAATTCAAGGAGGAAGGTTTTTGACCTAAAGGGAAAAAAAAAAACACCCCAACATTTTTTTGAAAGAATGATTGCACATAAATGATTAAAACATAACTCATGACTCTATGCATAGGAGATAGAACCCGCACTGTTATTTATCAAATATTTACACTGCACACCTTTTAAAATTGGCTGCAGAAATACTTTTATGGTTTTAGAAAGGCACAAAATTTGAGGAAACAAATGAAACCAAATTCATTTTCTATTGAATGAGTACATCCAAATTATCTATTTCTTTTTGGTAGATGTGAAAAATGATTCAATTTCATGCCTCTTACTACAAATAATTCTTTTCTAAATATGTGGTATGACCAAAGTAATGAGACTGTGGCTAATGAAAGCCTTTCCACACACTTTCTACCACACAAATGTGAAAATCAGTTTCATTACTTTATACTTATACCATGTAAAATGCCAAATAGTAGAAAAACCATTTCATTTTTCCTAAAACTCCCAATCTGGCTACTGGCGTCATGTGCAGAGCTCATTGGCATTTAGGATAGCAACTTCAGAGAAGCTTTCACAAATTCAAAGCTAATTGGCTTCAACATGGTCATTTTCATTTTTCCTTTGGTGGGAGTAGGTCTCAAAATGCAATCTTTATTAACTTTTTAGCATTTACACACAGCTCAAGCCACATTTTCCCCCAAAATTACTTCTTGGACCCATTTTTCCTCCAAAACAATCCCTGTCCTATCAGAAATGGTTAAAAAGGAACATGTATTAAAAATAATTTAAAAGTTTTGTAGTCTGAAACATTTTTTTTCCAAATTTTCCTTTTCACGACTATTTTCTTAATATTATTACATAGTGAGAAAACAGGCTATAATTAGTTATACCCCTCTCTAAATTAAAAAAAAAATTAACGGGCTAATGAAGCCTCTACTAGGAAATTTGAAAAAAGGAGATTTTATTAATTTTTGGAGCTATAGGCTTTTTTTTGGCTTTTAATGCCTACAAAGTTTAAATTCTTGCCTTTCAGATTACATTAATTCACTAAATTATTAGCAAAATAAATTAATTTATGGGTTATATGTTAACATACATTATATGTTATATGTTAACATACATACAAATGCTGGTCTAATTCACTGTTACATATGTTATATAAATCAGAACTGGTGGACTGAAGCAATGCATTATGGACAGTGGGATGCACTTATCCATGACCCTTTAGCAACTTATTAGTAACTAAATCCTCAATTTTCAGCAGATAGAAAGAGGTAGACATAAGGTAACGATTCAATTCTCTGTCAAATTGGAAAAGTGGCTTAATTCTGAGGAGCTACAGTAACTTAAATAGAGAATTGCTAATAAACCCCCAAATTTAATCCTATTTATTTCTCAAAGACAGAAATCTAAAATCTGAGAAATTGTGAGTAAGAGTGGGGAGTGAACCATCCCTCAGGGAGTACACTAATCACAAATTATTGTTTAAATACAGAAAACATTGTTATGGTTAAAAATTTCTTACTTTCTTACATTCTGACAAAACTGTTAATATTAAATACTTTTACATAATGTATCATGTGTATAACAATAGAAAACTTACCAGCCTAAGCTAGACAATGTTAATTTTCTTACTGGGTGAAAAGTAACAAATTTTATGGAAGAACATGAGCACTGATGAGCCAGAATATCCCTTTTTTGCTTAATATATTCTGACTTAAGTTAGACATCTCCTTCAAAGAAGAGGCTGAGTTTGTTTGGAAAGTGAGTGCATTTGCCACTTTGCATCATTAAGAAAATGTTAAATGACCCTGAGATAAGACTATAAAATTGCCCAGTCTTTTGATTCAGGTCCTACCAACAATGCATGCAAAAGTAATTTCTATTTATCCTGTAGCCTGTTGTTGTACCTAAATGGATTACAGCTAAAATGACTAATTTTGGATTCTATTTCGTCTTAATGGTCACAGCAAAGGCAACTCAAGGCACTGGCCTGCATGCTTTGCATATCTGTACCTTAAAATTCATCCTAGGAAGGATCTTTTCTATTTTCAATGGGCCTGGAGGCCTTCCAATGGTCTCACCTCAGTCTATAATACTATTCAGAGTAAGAAATTTTTTTATAGTCAGTTTTTTTTCATAATAGTAACCAAGCAAGTCTGCTTTACATGCTACAGTTTCTTCCTAGAAAATAAGGCATTTTTGTTCTTTGACAATTATTTCAGGGCAGTCTTGTTTTGTTTCTTTTCTAATACAAATGAACATGCAACCTTTCTTCAAACTGCATGGTCACACTTAGTAGATCTTATAATTTACAAAGACTTTTGGTTACAAATGTTATTCACCAAACACACACTTTTTTAGTTCAAAATAATACAGTTCCCAACCCCTTGCATATACTGCAATTGCTTAAGAAACAGTGCAACTATAAAGTGGCAAGATATCTTCCACACACAAAAAATAGTATATAAAAAGTGGCAAGTTAGTCATGTTTGATAGTAAAAGACTCTTAGTCATAGTCCATCTTTGGTTCTTAATTAGGACTTGACAAGTTTGAAGCCTTGTCCTGTGTCCAGCACAGCAGGAAGAAACCACCTCATTTTTAATCTTTTCAAGCACCTAAAACAAGCTTTGCAGATCCAGAAAAGGTTTAGGCCACACAACCAGTTTGCCAAATGCACCAGAGGGTAGGTAACACGAGGAAAATATAACATCCAGTGCTTGGCAACATCACTTCCTGTTGGCAAATGCAGAGTGTAATCACTCCATCGTTTTGATACACCATACACTGCTTTAACGGCACGCCCCTTTTCAGTCCAGCTGATGTTGCTGTTCGCATTACAGTTGTATTCCACCCAGTCTCTTGTAAAGTCACCAAGCTGTGCAGGGTCAGCTTCTTCAAGGTCCACCACTTTGGTCATCTCAGCTCCCTGCACTGCAATATATTGATCATTAACTTTTCTCACTTCTTTAACCCATGGTATTGAGTTCTCACTATCGAGTACAATAATAAGTCGGGAACAGAAAGAACCATTCTTTTCTCTCCACCATTCCAAAAGTGTGTCAAGCCGTAATGTGTCTCCACCTACAAAAAAAGAAAATTCAATAGTAAGACTTGTATCTGAAGAAATCTGGATTAAGGAAACAGGGTGAGATTTTAGGGAAGGTCTGTAAAAAGATTAATATTTACCAAAGCTTCTCTGATGCTGCCTCTTTCCCCTCCACCTACAATATGGGGTAGGCCCAGGCTCCTCTTTCCATAGGGATTAGAGTTCTCTAAAAGGAGACAAATCTGTCCCAGGGATTTAATTGGTTCCAGTTCCCCCACCACGGCTCCCTGGTCACCTATAGGCATAAAAAGTCCCAGCTACAGTAGCTGAGGTGCCTCTAACGGGGTGGTTTTCTGAAGATCATGAAAGTAACAATGTTCCTCACCACATTTCCTATGCTGATGACCAGAAGCATTTTCACATGGAGACCATGACGCATGCAGAGAAACTAAGTGCCACTATATGCTGCTGGGCAAAGGAAAACTCCTTTGGTTAACTGTTCAGTGATTTGTAGGTGCTGCATTTCATCCCTGAATAGAACCTGAAGAGGGCTGGTGTTAAAGCTGCCTCCCACAAGGTCACACAATTAATTAGTGGCAAAGCTGGAATTAGAGCCCAGTGCCTTTTCAACTATATCATGTTGCTAGTCATTTTATTTAAACTTCAGATTGGTAAACTCTAAATTCTTGGAATTAAACATGCAATGTAAAACTAAAGACTTCCTTTACAGGAGACATTTTAAAAACCAGATTTTAGACCAGTAAAAAAAAAAATAGTTATCCTATTTGCATTAAAAGTAGATTTGCTGAGATAGTCAAGAAACTTACTTTATAAATTTGAATATGGCTTATTTATTTTAAAAAGATGATGTTAATGAGAAAAATGATTATTTTCTTCTTATATTAATAACCAATTTTATATACAGGACCCCAAGATCCTCATTTTTGCTTTCTTATTCAAAGCCCAGTCTCTCAAGGACATTTCTGACCTTGCCCAAAAAATTCACCCCACCCAGATCATCTTATCTGGGTGGAATTCTTACCATAACCCACACGGTTCAAGCAGGACTGGGTGGAGAATAGATTCTTTTGTATAGATTAGTGGAGGTGGAATGATCTGAGAGTGCTGACATGATCAAAGTCAGGTCCCCCAGCCCCTCATTAGAAAAGGCCCACCTCTCCTTATAATATTCATTCTTTTATTAATTATTAACCAATCAGTGTTGATTTTTACCCTCAGAGACACCGCCTTTTCCAAAGGTATTTAAATATTCAACCACCTCCATGCAGGGTCTTTGATTATGAGAGAGAGAGACCACTGACCTCTATTATTTGCTAGTCTAATTAATAAGCTGATTATTAACTACCCAGAAACTCTGTCTCTGGGGCTTTTCATTTGCATTATTTAATGCAAATTTAATAAAATCAACCATTGTATTTAACTAATAAATTACCTTCATTTGTCCTGATTTTTGGTGGGTAAGGACTAAAGGTCTTAATTTTACTATAGATACTATGAATTGTTTTAATTTTTAAAGCTGTTCTAGCCCAGAAAAATAGCAGATAACTACACAAATGTACCAAGAAGGACATCTAAAGCTGCCCAAATACGTGGGCAGTCCACAAGCCCTCCTGAAGACAAGAGCCAGATTAAAATTCAATTGGGAAATATTTAACAAAATAAATAAAAATATAACACAACAGAGATAATGTTAATATCTGGTTTTCTAAGTCAATATGTGGTCTGCAGGGATCCTTAAGTACAGTTTAGTGCCTTGGTTTCTATTTGAGTTGGACACCACTGGTGTAAGATATTTAAATTTCAGAGTTTGCTATGTAGTTTCACAATTATCCTTCATTTAACCTGGTATGTTGGCACTTTGTGTGACACTAAAACTCAGGAAACCACTGGTTTGATTTTTTTCCTAATTTCGCCATTCTTCCTTCCAGGTAGCTAGATGCTGGTAGAGCAAAGTCATAAAATATATTGATTTATCATACTATGCCAATAGTGCTTACTCAAGTGGGCCCAACACCGTTGCTTAAAAAATGCTTCAATTCACTCTTCACTATCATATCCAAAGCAACTATTTCAAATATTTTTCTCTTTCAAGTCCCATGCCCCATACAACAGATGATCACAGATGATGCACCTGCATTTTCAATGAAAAGATTATAACATCCAATAAGAAATTCCCCTTTGTTCAACTCATCTCCCTTCAGACTTCAAAACTTTTTGATATTTTTACCCACTATCGTTTGTCCTTACAAATGAGATGTCCCTACTCCTTGCCAAAGTGAATTCACTAACTTTTTCCTTAATGCAATTCCTTACCATTTTTTTGAGCAACTTGTTCCATCAATCAAGCAATCCAAACTCAAGAAGGTAAATTTGATCTCACAAGTATGAGAAATTTGGTGGGATGAGATCCATGATCAGAATGTGTCTCAAGGTAGTAAGAGAAAATGGGAAGAGAGGGAGATAGCATTGTATTTTAAGAAGGTATACATGAATGTGAGAAAATCCAGGAACTAGAGGAGAGATGCACAGTGAATAGCATTTGGGTAAAGATTAGTGGAGAGAAACAAGAATGATGTTGTTACCACATTTTACTTCAGTCAGCCTAGAAAGAGTAAAGAGACTGAGTACAGGAAACATTTAAAGCATGGCAAAGAGGCATCATGTAGTAAGTGATGAGAGACTTCAACTATACAACATCTGCTGGTGCTTTCCCTCTGCCAAAGCAGAGCAGTGACCATCTTATCTTTGCTTAATTATAACTTAGAGGAACTAATAAGAAGAAATTCTGTTCTGGGTCTGAGTTCCACTAATAGGAAGGAACTGGCTGCTGCTAGAGTGGAGAAGATGGGATCCTTTGGGGGATGGGACCACTCCTGCCTAGAGTTTGTGATACATGAAGGCAGAAAAGCCACAGGTATTATCTGATATGCATTCTAAATTTTTGGAGAAGCAGTGACAAGTAGAATGTAGATTGAAATTCTACAGATGAAGCCAGTCTAAGAGGGACAGGAAACTTGGGAATCAAATTGGAAAACATAAAAAGAAACAACTCATCACCTAAAAATAATTAAGATTTTAAAAGAATGTGTAGAGAAGAAGGGGCAGTATATGGTACAGCACAGTAGGTACAGAGTCAGCCTCAGAGTCAGAAAGACCTGGATCTATATTTGGCCTTTGACACAAAACTCTCAATAGAAAGAAAACAGAGATGTTTAATTTTTATTATAGCAAAGCTTTTGGTAAAGTATCTCATCCTGTCCTTGTGGAGAAAATGGAAAGATGTAGAGTAGGTAATATTAAAAATAAATGGATTCAGAAATGACTGGATGGCTGGACTCAGAGTATCTGTTAATGGTGCACTGTCCCCATGACAACAAGTCTCCAGTGAAGTACGTAAGGGATTCCTACTTGGTCTCTGCTGTTTAATATTTTTATCAATAACTTGAATCAAGATAATAGATGGCATGCTTATCAAATTTGCAAATGATTAAGCTGGGAGGGATAGATAACATTCTGAATGATCAAGACAGAATCTAATAATAATCTTGAAAGGCTAGAAAACTGTGCTGAATTTTGTAAGATGAAATTTAACAGGGATAAATGTAAAGTTTTACACTTGGGTCCAAGAAATCATAAGTACAGGATGCGGGAGCTACAAACCAGTTTAAATGAAAAAGATCTAGGTGTCTGATATGAGTTACAAGTGTAATAAGGCTGACAGAAAGGCTGATTTGATCTTAGGTTATATTAAGAGACATAGCTTCCTTGAATAGGAATATAATAATAGTCAAGCTGTATTCTTCCCTGGTCAGACTATATCTGCTAGTCAGTCAGTCAACAAATAGTGCTAGGCATTGTGCTATATGCTGGGAATACCAAGAAAGGCAAAAATATACACTGTCTCTGCCCTCAAGGAGCTCAAATTCTAATATGGAAGACAACATGTAAACAACTATTTATATATATAAATGACATAGAGAGTGTAGATGAAAGGTAATCTTTAATATTGTGTTCAGTCCTGGGCGCCACATTTTAGGAAGAACATTTAACAAACTGAAGAATGTATGGAGGAAAGCAGTTAGGAAGGTGATGGATATGCTATATGGGGGCTGGTTGAAGAAAACTGGGACACTGGGCCTGGAGAAGAGAAGGCTCAGGAAAGACAGGCTTGATGTCTTCAAGTATTTCACGTGGAAAAGGGCTTAGCCTTTGCTACTCCTCTAGCCTCAGAGGCAGAACTAAGGAAGAAGGTATTTTTAGTTTTCAGTTGATTCCAGGAAAAGTTTCCTAATAATAAGAGCTATCTCAAAATGAATGGGTTGCCTTGGGTGAAAAGTTGGTTCCCCCTCACTGAAGGTCTGCAAGCTATGGCAGGATGTCCCCTTACTGGATATGTTGCAGTGGGAATTTTTTTTCTGGTGGGTTGAATTAGGTGGCTCCTGAGACTCCTTCCAACTCCAAAATTCTGTGACCTGTTTCTTACATATTTTTAAACCTTCCTCCTTTCCATAAAAACACTGAGGACTCAAGAATTCTAAAGAATCCATCCCAAGATAAAGGCTTTCCTCATGTTCCAGTTGTGTGTACTGAGTTGTTAACTTCATTCAAGTACTAGTTTTAGGTCTCACTGAATCATGGGAGGTGACCCAGGGTTCTAAAAGGCAACGCCAGTGGAGCATAAGCTTTGACAGTTCCAACCGAACTGGAAGGATTTTAATTTTTTGTTTTTTTTTTTTTGGGTGAGGCAATCGGGGTGAGGTGACTTTCCCAGGGTCACACAGCTAGTAAGTGTTATGTGTCTGAGGCTGGATTTGAACTCGGGTTCTTCTGACTCCAAGGCCGGTGCTCTATCCACTGCGCCACCTAGCTGCCCCACTGGAAAGGTTTTGAGTAAAAATCTGTTTTCATCTGTTGTTGGATGACGAGCCTCACTAAATAAATTTAAAAAGATTCATTATGAGGTTGACCACAGGATGATGAATGTTTTGGTCTCAGCCATTCTCAAAAGGCCACCTGCTATGTTACAGTGGAGTTGTGGTCTGTGGGACCAAGCTCCCGTATCAGCAGTTAAGGTCCCCAAAGTACAGAAATATTATAAATTTATACTTTCAGGTCCATACTGTAGCAACTAAAATAATTATCTTAAAAAGCATTTAATTTAGGGCAGCTAGGTGACACAGTGGATAGAGCTCCAGCCTTGGACTCAGGAGGACTTGAGTTCAAAACTGGCCTCAGACACTTGACACTTACTAGCTGTGTGACCCTAGGCAAGTCACTTAACCCCAACTGCCTCACCAAAAAAAAAAAAAAAAAAGAAAAAAGAAAAAAGAAAAGAAAAAGGAAAAAAAAACATTTAATTTCATCTTCGCAGACTCTCACTAATATTAATATATTTTAAGATCGCTCTTGAGTAACCAACATTTTATATGGGTTTGCAGCAAATCTACTGATGCCATACCTACTGTCCTCTTTTTTTTTCACTCAACAGCTCTATTCTTTATCACTTCTCTAATAACTACTTCTTAGAGCTCAATGATTTAATTTAGCTATTCTAAAATACTTTTTAGTTTTTTACTCTCTTGAATCTCACTATAAACTTTCTTAACCTACGTTAATAATAGTAATTTCATAACAAAATCTACTATTAAATATTAACTATACAGTTATTTTATTGGAATGGAGAAAGTGTACCATTTACAGACAGAATACTCCCTCCTCCACAAGAAAAGATATATTAAATAGGTGCAACCAGATCAACATTCTCCATAACTAAAAATACCTGGGCTTAAACGTATATTATTAACAGGTTTAAAAGTAAGAAAATATGTTTTTATCACTTTTATCTCCCTCAAACAATAATTTAGACAAAGAAACATTTTAAACTCTCATAATTCATTTGATGGGGTTTACCCAGATGATCATGAAGGTGGCCTTCAATTTCAAAATTATTGAGATTCTATATATACAGAAACGTGTTTCTTATTTTATATTTTCAGTTGCCTAACACCATCAGAAAATCATATCATTTTATAGCTAGGAGGGACATTACAGGTTAAGTCCAAGCCCTCATATTATAGCTGAACTGAGGCCTCCCAAAAGGTTAGCTCATTTATCTAGATTTAGGGATAGTGCCAGGACTAGAATCCAAGATTCCTTATTTGTGCAAGTCAATATTCTTTCAACTCTGCCATCCTGCCTGAATTAAGACTGAAGACTTTTTTCACTGAGTTCTTTGAAATAAAGAATAAAATGACAAAATGAACTAAAAATCTCTGTTCTTAGACAAAGACTTTGAAATACTTTATTTGTAGAAATTAGCTTGTATTGAAAGAAAATTAAATCACGGAGTCTAAAATAGTAAGATTCCTTCCCCTCAAACTGCTACATAATATAATTCTCTTTTTAATTCAGAAGACTTTTCTCTAAAAGCAATTAAAGTTATCCATAGTAAATGGATCCAGAATTCTGGGATTTCATATGACCAAGTATAGGCATGTTCGGTGTTTGGACATAAGTAAGAGGAATTTACAAGTCTGGACTGACAGAAACATTTCCAACATTTAAAAAGTCTAAAAGTGGATTACCTGCCAGAGCCCATTCTCCTGTACCATGAGTATGACCACTGTAATACAAAATGTAAGTGTCATGTCTGGGTCCATCTGTAGTCCGAAGTTCAAGGAAAGCTTTGAGCTTGGAATGTAGAGTATCCAAAGAAAATCCACTCGTGGAATAGTCACAGCCAAACGTTTCAATCATGTGGTAAGCAAAAAATCGCTGAATGGCATTGAGCATGCCAGTAGACCTCAAGTTCAGCTCCTGAACATGATCTGGTGGAAGAAGTGTTGGCTGACCATCAGAACTATAGGAAAAAAACAAAAACAAACAGAAGGATAAATTAAGTTGGAAGGATGCTAAAGATCATCTAGGCCAGAAGTTCTTAAGCATTTTTGTGTCATGGAACCTTTGGCAGTTTGGTAAGGTCTGTGGGTCCCTTCTAAAAATAATATTTTTAAATGCATAAAATAAAATGCCTAGTAAACCAATTATATTAAAATGTAGTTATAAAAAAAATTTAAGCCCAAGTTCATAAGCCCCATGTTAAGAATCCTTGATCTAAGCCAGGGGTGGGGAACCTGCAGCCTCAAGTAGCCCTCTAGGTCCTCAAGTATGGCCCTTTGACTGAATCCAAACTTCACAGAACAAATCCCCTTAACAAAAGGTTTTGTTCTGTAAAATCTGGACTCTGTCAAAAAGGCCGGCTGGTTCCTCACCTCTGATCTAAGCCAACTGCTTCACACAAATGTATTAATTCCAAAATTATCTCCTCCTTGCCACTCCTAAAACTATCTAAGTATCAGGACAGATAAGAAAATTCCAAACAAAAACCAAGAAATTTTTTTTTTATGTTACCAATATAATTCAATATTTTTAAAATGCCAATGTGAAAGACACTAGGGATATGAAGATGAAATAATGGCAGCCACTGCTTTAAACTGGGGAAATCAAAATATGAGTTCCAAAATGCCTCTACAACAACAGACTATCCAGGAAGAAACACTGCTCTCACCAGTACCTCATTTACAATTACTGGCCAAAAAAATTCGTTAACAATATTTCTTAGAAAAAGATTTTGATACATATTTTGCGGTAAAATCTATTTTAAAAATGAGTGGGGTCAATAAAGAAAAAAGATATAAATTTTTTGAGTTAAAATCTCAAAATAAAAATTAATGAACACTTCAATTATCTACTTAATTTTCACATTTAAAATAGGTCTTCATAAAGTATTATTAACTTTAAACTTAAACTTTGGATTAAAGGGAGGGATATATTTGGAAATGAAGATGATACAAAAGATATTGACATTTTTTAAAAAGAACGTTGATTTCAAAGTTCTGAAGAAGGTGCAAGCCATATTTCCAAATCTAGAAACAAGTTCAAGAAAATATCACTGTTAAAGAAAAGCATAACTTAGTAAGCAATAAATGAAGCCAATACAGGCATTCTATCCTAACAGATAATAGGTGAATGAGTGGTTGATAAAATTAGTGTGCTTGAAGCTCCTAAAGGTAAAATAAGCTGTGATTTATTTAATCAAAAACTCTAAAACTCAATTTAGACCACCAGTCTTCATAACTAAATTAAAAAGACTAGGCTATATCTTAAGATTTCAAAAAAATAATGATGAATTTACTTGAATCTAGACCTCACACTCATCAACTGGCACAACTGACAAAAAAAAGAAAAATGACAAATGTTGGAGAGGCCATGGGAAAACAGGCACAGTGATGTACTACTGGTGGAGCTGTGGACTGATAATTTCACTCAGGAAATCAATTTAAAACTGATGAAAAAGTTAACAAACCCCTACTAGGTCAATGCCCCAAAGAGATAAAATAAAAAGGGAAAGGTTCTATATGTTCAAAAATATTTATAGTTAGGCAGCTAGCATCTACTAAGCACTGCTATAAGTAGGCATTATGCTAAGCAGCTTTTTTTGTAATAACAAAGAACTGGAAACTAGGTAGGCGTCCAATTGGTTGAATGAATTATGGTATATGAATGGTATAGTGGAAAAAAACAACGTATTTGGAGTCTGAGAACCTGGATTCAAATCCTAGCTGTGTCACTTGCTATCTGTATGAACTTGGTTAAGTAGCTTCAATTTTCTGGGCCTCAAAGTCTCCTCACCTATAAAGTGAGGGGCTTGGATTAGATGATCTCTGAGGTTCCTCTGGGCACTGTGTAGCTGAGTGGATATAACACTGGACTTGGAGACTTTAAGACCCGAGTTCAAATGTGATCTCAGATACGTACTAGCTATATGACCCTGGGCAAGTCACTTAACCCCTGTCTAAAACTGGAGAAGGAAATGGCAAACCACTGCGGTATCTCTGCTAAGAAAATCTCGGGGACAGTTGGCACCTGGGGTCCTGAAGAGAGGGACAAAAGTGAACAGTAATGAGGTCCCTCTAATTTATTATTCTGTGATTTTTATCTTTGTGCTACCTCTTGAATCTGCCCTCTCTATTCTATATGTTATCATCACAATCCTTATTACCTCTTGTCCAGACTATTATTAGCCTCCAGAATGATCTTCCCACCTTTACTCTCTCTTCTACTGAACGTGTCCTTCATATCACTGCTAGATTACGCATAAATCTGATCTTGTCACTCCTCTGCTCAAAATTGCTCAGTGGCTTCAAACTTGTCTTCTACAATTAAATGCCATTCTCCCTTTCCGGGTTTAATTCATCTTACTCCCCACCATGTAGCATGTATTTATTATACATCGAAGTCTAGGAATTTGCCATTCTCTATACAGCTACCACATTTTCCCACTTTTTCTGTCCTTAGCTCATGCTGCTTAGAATGTCCTCCTACTCCTTCCTGACCTCTACCAATTGAAATTCCATTCAATCTTTATTGCCTAGCTCAAATGCCTTCCTGTTCATGGAGGCTTACTCCAATCAGTAATGACCTTCTCTATCCCATGGACCTCATATAACACTCTGTGCCTCTCTTAAGTACTTATATCTTAATGTCCTCTATTATAACATCCCAGGACTCTGAACCTAAGAACATTGGAAATAACATTGCTTCCAACCCAGTGCCCTCAAACATCCTGGGAAGCAATTCCCATGGAAATGCAGCCTAGAGCTGCTGAAAACACAGAAAAGAAAATTCTTGCCACCAAAGTCCTTGGCACTATTAAATGGCTCAGCATCAGAAAGTGCTATGATTTTATCAGTGGAAGTGTTGAAGAAGAGACATTTATATCTACTTTGCCACTACACCGTAAGGATCACAGACCTTTTCCATCTGACTTGCAGCTGAGACCTTCCATATGTGCTGCTTCTCCCATTAGAACAGGAGCTCTTCGACAGCACGGGCTTTCTCACATTTTTATTTGTATCACCAGCACTTAGCAGAGTCATTTGCACATAGTACTTTGCACTTAAGATGTCTTAGTCATTATTTTTATAACTCTCACATTTTCCTGTTAGACTATAGACTCTTTGAACAATGCATTTAATAAACAGTGGCAGTGGAAAAATCCCTAGATTTGAAATTTGAAATCAAGGAACCTCAGTTATCTCATCTGTAAAATGAGCCGGTTGGACTGTAGGACCTCAAAAACCCCTTCCAGCTCTAAGACTATTATGATGCTCGGACCCCATGAAATGACAATGGCTATAAACTATGTTCCATGGCTGTCAGAACTGAAGTATGAGTTTTGGTGTTTTGTTTTGGTTTATTTGTGTGGAGGCAGGTGGAAATCCACCACTTGTGATTATAGACGGTTTCTATGTGATGCTCAAATGAGATAAAGTATGTAAAGTGTTTTTAAAACATTTTTTAAGTGCTATAAAATACCTGTTATTATTATACCTCAAGTTACTAAAGTCTGAAGCCTAAATAAAAGCTGTATGACTATCCTCTACATCTCTATGTGTCTCAAAAATATAGTTCTTAGTTAATATGTGAATCTTCTCATTTCTTTAAAATAAAAAGAAATAGAAAATATCTAAATAAAAATAACTAAAATGTCTAAAATACTTCACTGTTAGAACGGCATGAATATTAATGGTAACTATAACAGATAATTCTGTAATGTGCAAACTAACATTTCCATACAAATTTTATTTATTCTGTGTTATAATTTCATTTCTGAATGGTTAAAAAGAATTCCATCATTTGTTGTAGGGCATAGCTTTTGAACCTTTTATTTCAAATATGAACCTCTACAATTTAAAAAACTTTTCTTTAAAAAAGTGACAATAAGACTTTTTGAAAGCTAAGTCCTTGTAAAGGATTAAACCAATTTACTATTAAAAGTGTTCTCTTCCCCCCTTAAGTGGAAAGAAGACAGAAGTTCTGCAGTGAGAACTTTTCTGTGACAAAAAAATTATTTTCCTCTCAATAAAAGACACTTACAATATGTACGCAAAACCAAGGCATCACTTAAATAGAACACTTTAAATACGGTACTTTGGAGTTAAAAGACAAACGAACACACCAAACCTATATCACAACAGCTTTAGAATAAACCAGAGATGGGGAACCTATGGCTTCGAAGCCACATGTGGCCTTCTAGGTCCTTGGGTGCAGCCTTTTGACTAAGTCCAAGTTTTACAGAACAAATCCTTTTATTAAGGGGATTTGTTCTGTGAAGTCTGGATTCAGTCAAAGGGGACTTAGAGGGCCACATGTGGCCTCAAGGCTGCAGGTTCCCCACCCTTGGAAAAAACCATCAATATCATGGATAACTGATTAATAGTATAGCCATTTAAATAAGAAATTCTTTGTAATGAACTCTCGAAGAAATTATTAAACTTTTCTACTGTGGGGGCCAAAATATTTAAATAAATCACAGGCTCTTAACCTGGGGTCCATGAATGTTAAAGACATTTTTGATAGCTGTATTTATTTTACACACTTAAAAACACAATTTTGATAAATCCATACACAAAAGGGTCCATGACAAAAAAAGGTTAAGAACTCCTGAAATAAATAATTTAAAATGTTTTGAATATGCCATGCTTAAAGGAAAACTTTTTATAATTTTTTAATAGTGAGAGTAAAAATGCAATGCTTATATTTTTAAAAAATGCTAATCAAAACTGATTTAAACTCATCATGTGGTCATAAATATTCTCATGACTGTCTTGGATCACTGTACCTGCAGAAGTTGGTGGGAATCACAATAGCATATCCAACACATGTTCCTCCTAAACAATTACCGAGTTCATGGAAGAGCCCATGAGCCATGGATTCCAATGGTAAAACGATAAGAAACATGCTCAAAAAGATTCCATTTGTTGGCTAGAGGCAACAAAACAAAAAGCCATTTATCAAATATGTTTATTTTCACATTTCAACTAACCTATCCCACACCTGCTAACAAAAAAACCAAAAGCCTCTCACAACTTTTCAACCTAGACCCTTCATTTAAATTCTAGCTCTACCAGCTGTGTGACCTAGAATAAGTCATTTTAACTCACTGAGCCTCAGTTTTCTCATTTGTAAAATAAGAGAGTTGGACCAGAAACTTATAATATCTTCACAAGGATCTAAATCTTATGCTGCTAAATACAGTGTGAGGAAAAATTATCTTGTCATACGACTGGCATAGCTCGACCCAACCTGCCCAGAAACAGCATTTATTTCATCTGGAAAATGAGAAGGATGGAGTGGATGGTCTCTAAGGTCTTTCCCAACTCAACATCAATTATCCAATAATCTCTGAATCTCCTGACAGTAAATATCCATTGGATAGTATACATACCTTGATCATTATAGTCTTGATGGAAGCACTTATACTTAGGCTCTCTAAAAAGGCATTCCTTTTATGGAAATTCAGAATTTTTTGTGAAATTTCTAAATAATTCCTATCACTAGAGGAATATGTTGTGAAATTTTAGCTGCTACAGCATACAAAATCTATACAGCACTCTTCAATGTATTTTCAAAAAGAGTACTCACATATTAAAGCATGTATAGCTAAAGAAAGGAAACATAATTGTTAGAAAATCACTCAATAGTAATCCTAAATATCAGATTAATCTTAGATATGGGAAACTAGGGAAAGAATTTCAGAATTGCAGTCCTTTTTATTTCAAAAGTTATTGGGGCAGCTAGGTGGCGCATAAGTTATTCCCTTGTTTATTCCCTTTACCTCTACATCTTGTGAATATTCTTTTTTTCTTTAAATTATTTTGTATTACTTGCTATGCACTAATATCGGCTTTTGTGCAGATGCAGCATCTCCATTAAATATAAGTTCTTTAAGGGAAAGAGCTGTTTGATTTTTATCTTTGTATCTTCAGCCTTAATAAATGTTTTTGAAATGAACAGAAATGATGAAAAGTCTTGATGATAGGGTAAGTTGCTCATAATATAAAGGACATATTGAAAGTACATTAATAGATGTGACCTGTAGAGTATTATACTCTTATGTAAGTTAAAACCCTCAACTATTACTGTTTCTTAAAAAAAAATTTTTTTTCTAAAATAAAGGCTAGCATCACTTCCACTAAAGGCTTACTACACAATTTGTGTAACTGACTTTCTTCTTGCTCTTCTGAGACAGAAACCCCACCCCCCCACACACACCCCCCCCCCCCCCCCCACCCCTCTGCCTATTTATTGGGGAATGGCTTAACAAAGTGTAGTACACAGATGTTATGGCATATTACTGTACCTTTAAAAAAACACAACAAATGTGAAAAATTCAAAGAAGCATGGAAACACTGACAGGAACTGATGCAGAGTAATAACAAGCAGAATCAAGGAAACTATATACTACTACAACATAAAAAGAAAGAACAACAACAAAAAAGAAACCGAAGGCTATGTAAATATAACAAACAAGCTTGGCTCCAGATAAAATACAGTTCTCCTTTCTTTGAAAAAGTGAGAGAATAAAGGTATGACATATTATATTACATATAATGTAAGATCAGATGGGTGTATTGATTAGCTTGCTGAACTGCCTTTTTTCCCTCTTTTTATTTTTTGTTACAAAAGATGGCTCACTAGGTGTAGTGGGGGAGGGATGTGTTCAGAAATTAATGTGCTGTAAAAACAGGATATCAATAAAAACTTAAAAAAAACCCCACCTATAAGATGAATAGCTTCTACCTGTTTCATAATGTATGCTGTTTTTCTTTAGTTTTTTTGGATATTAGCCAATTTAATGTTATTAAGAACTTTTTTTTGGGAGGGGGTGTGTGTGAAGCAGTTGGGGTTAAGTGACTTGCCCAGGGTCACACAGGACTAGTAAGTGTCAAATGTCTTCAGGCCACTGAACTCAGGTCCTCCTGACTCCAGGACTGGTGCTCTATCTACTTCGCCACCTAGCCACCTCCATTAAGAACTTTAAATTATGAGATGTACATATTCCGTTGCAGTTGTATATAGATGTTTACATGTTATCTGGAGGTGCTTTCATATTATTTGTATTTTCAGTCAGCACAGCATATGCTATAACTTTCCCTATCTTCTTTCTGTAAGGTTTTACATATCATGCAATATAAGGAATATAAAATAATGTTATCAAACACAATGAGTTTTAAGGTTTTCTAAAAATAAAAAAAAAATTCATTAAAAAAAAAAAAAGTTGAGACCATAAAAACTATTTCAATGATGATTTCCAATTCTATTGCTTAGGACATTTTTGCAACTCCTCTTTGAGAAACTGTCTTCTGTTACTTCCCCTGCTTAAAAACCTTAAGCTGAATTCCCCATTTCTTATACAACAAAATGCAACCTCTTGCACTGGCATTAGAGACTCCTCTGCGGTCTTGCTTCAACCATTCTTTATAGATTATTTCATCCCATTTCCCTGGATGTGCTGCCTCTATGTTCTAGCCAAACAGGGCAGATGACAATTGCCTGATCTCATCCAGCCGTCTCCTATCTTCATGTATTGTGCATTCAAGAATGGGGTCTTTGGAACTGACACTACAAGTCAAATACAACAAGCATACTGAATGAAGTCAGAGAATCTGGATTCAAGTCCCTGTGCTGGTACTTCTCACTTACCATGTGATCTTGAGAAAAGCATATTAACTCTCTGTGCTCTAGTTAAAATGAGGGAGGTGAAAGATTTAATCTACTTCATTCATTGTATGAGAAACTGGGCCTAGATATATTAACTGAGTTTCCCAAGATCGTACAAGTTCCTAAATCGCAAGCAGAATGAAATTTGAACTGGAGTTCTCTTATGACATATACAGTGCTCATTCTTTTGACCTTACCATCAGTTCAGAGATGAGGGACAGTACAAGAACTAAATCTGTTATTTGCTGGAATGTGTACTGTCCCTCATTTAAATCTTCTCTGAAGTCTCTTCTATTTCTAAGTCTATGATCCTACATAGTACCATCAAAAATCCCTCATTTTTCTATTTTGTTCAATCACCTGATTTCTGTTTCATTAAGACTATTTATAACTTTCCTGTCTTCCTGTTTATTTTCCACAGAAAATATGATTATTGATGTCTCTATTTCATAGAAAAGACTTACTACTCCCAAACACTCCCAGATTCCCTAACATAAACAATCTTTAAAAGTGTATGCATGTAACACTGATTTTACCTTCCTAATCCTAACAAAATACATATGGAATAAAAACATAGTCACTATCATGTAATGTAACTACTTTAATGAACAAAATATATTACACATGTGTATATATGTACATATATACATACATGTATGCATGCATTATGTATGTATATAAAATGAAATGAGGGGCAAATTGTAGATTTTACAACCCAAAAATATAAAGTAATTCATATATACCTGTGAACTACAGAAAAGTTCAAACTGTTAATCGATTTTGTAGTCACTCAAATGGAATGACTAAGTAATTTAAAATTTCAATTTAAGTGTTAATTGATAAAAGTGTCTAATAATAACACCTAGTACTAGTGAATACAAGAATATATCCCACAGCAGTAATGAATTAAATATAAGACTTTTAGGGGCTTACTGTTTAGACACCTGTATTCATTAGTCTTATTACTAATGAAACTGATTTTAACAGCCTATTGAAACTTAATGCAGTGTTTCCAATATTTTGAAAAGTGTTGAAGGTTCAAAGGTGGCTTTGCAAAAGTACAATAAAACATTAAGATAGCACTAAGGTATGATTCCTTTTTTGAAAAAAAAAATACACATATCAGATTTACTTTACAAAGTGAGAAAGTAACAGTGCTCTAGAAAAAGAAAAAAAATCTGCCTACCAGGGAGGTTCCTTATGAAAGGATGAAATATAAGTTCATCAGTTCTGAAAAATCACTTGCCACATTTGAAGCATATTTTTTAAAAACAATGGAAAATAGGCAAAAAACAGTAAGTGATAACTTTAGTTTATTTCTGAGTTAGTAAGCCAGAAATGCATTCTATTAAGATAAAACAAACAAGCCAAAGAAAGGATAGCTTGGCACTACCTAATATTCAAAGACCTGATGGTCATATCCTTAGTTGAACAGATGGCAAACACATCTAAGAGGAGACAACATGGATTAAAGTTATTTCATCTGCTTATTCATTTTCAGAAAGCCTGAATATTACTGGTATGTAAAGCACTGAGCCACAGTCTCAGCCTAGAATTCATCTGCGACTTTAATATGCCTATTCTATTTTAAGTAACTACTCTATTGTCACAGACAAGACAGAGAGCCTGGGTGATAAAGATGAGAAGAATTATTTCTGGATGTTTTTCTCTAGAATTAGCCTTCCATTTTAGTCAGTCCACTGTAAATCTTTAGAACATGTCTGAGTTTAAGGGAGTGACACATAATGAGTGAAAGAGTAGATAATGAGCTATCTTATATATGTAAGTAATGACCTTTGCCCAAATATGGGCAATATATGTCAGTACTTTATTGAGAAATTCTTCTTAAGGCTACTATGTTTATTTTGTCTTTTTATTTTTCCATCTAGTATAAATCCCTATACAGTATGCAAAAATGGTTAGCAGGATTCTTTATAAGTCAAACTGCTATTAACTAGAAGAATTGCTAGTTTAGAGTCTACAAAAAGAATCATCAAAAGGCTTTGAAAATAAATTGAATTCAAGAATTCTAGAGCTGAAACAGGTCTTAAAGAGATCATTTAGTTCAGTCTCCTTTATGCTTGATGAATCCCCTCTATGGTATCCCTGACAAGTAGCTATCCAGGCTCAGTCTAAAAACCTCCAGCAACAATACCTTCTAAATTTATTTACAAATTTCAGTGTTATGCCAACTAAGCTACAAAGGGGGTAATTTATAAAAGCTAGCTAAAATAATAACAAAATTCATTTGGAGGAACAAA